AAAACAATTGTGTTCTTATGCTTCAAATAACTCATTTATACCTGGTGCTTGGGTGGCTCAATCAGTTAAGCAACTGTCTCATGATCTCATGGTTCGTGGGTTCAAATAACTCATTTATAGTTAAATTTAAGCCACTGCATAGAACTCAAACTGCATCAGCCAATTTTATGTCAAAGGACTATACATTGTCCACTGGGGAAAATGCCATTTACAAAATGGAGATGTGAGAGATGGCCCAGGCTCCCAGAGATGATTTTCTTGAAAATTGTTACCAATAAAAATCAAGTAACAATTTACACTGGAATTCACTATGAGAAAGGACAAAGACATTTCCGCTTATAAACACTTTGTTCTACTCATCTCCTTTCTACCTCAAGTCTTGCTACCACTCCCAGGTCCACTGGTTAATATAATAACATGGCTTCTAGATATTCACCTCTCCTCCAGCTCAATCATTATGCTCTGGCCACATGCTGTACTTTCCCACCACCCCATATTGGTTCTTTCTATGAAAAAAAAATTTCAGATATCTCTCTTTCTGAGAATATAATCCCCTATGCCTTTTATCCTCTCATTCTGCTATTCCTTTCACATATTGTCTTTGACCTTATTAGAATCTCTATTACATGATGCTGCTATTATATATTAACTCCCCTCATGTTCTAATTTCTCTCCTATTAAGCTTATTCCCTGGTCTACCTCTTGCAATCACCCTCATGCTCATATTCTATATTCCCTTGTTCAGTTTTCCTTCACAAAAACCACCTGATGAAAATCCACTCCAGATGGATATAATTGTCTTCTTCCTCTTCTGTCATTTCAGGGATGCTGCACTCTCTAAATGAAAACTAAGAGAATTATCACTACTATCACACTAAGTTTATCACATCTAAACTTACTTGGGCTTTAAAGACCAAGAAATCATTTTATATTTTCCTAATCAGCTCTCTCTTCTTTTCTTCATAACAACTACTTCAATCTTGGTTATCTTTTTTAAAATATTTTTTAATTTATTTCTAGGAGAGAGAGAGAGAGAGAGAGAGACAGCGTGAGCAGGGGAGGGTCAGAGAGACAGGGAGTCACAGACTGAAACAGGCTCCAGGCTCTGAGCTGGCAGTCAGCACAGAGCCCGACGTGGGGCTCGAACCCACCAACCGGGAGATCATGACCTAAGCGAAAGTCGGACGCTTAACCGCTTAACCGACTAAGCCACCCAGGCGCCCCCAAATCAGCATTTGAAATAAGTTCAAATTTCCCTAGGTTTAAAAAAATCCCTGTTGAGTCTCAAGTCCCCTCCAGGTACCATCCATTTTTTTCTTTAGAGCTAAATTTGAAAGGATTCTCATCTTTACTTCCTTATCCTTCTCGCTTTTCAGCCAAGTGCAATCTGATTTTTATTATAACCGTTCTAAACCACTACTGTAAAAGTGAAGATTTCTGTACAAGTTAGGTAAGGTTATATTGCTGAACAAAGCAGCACAATTACACAGTGGCTTGTAAACGTGTGTATCTCCTTAAAACAGTTCAAGTGTAAATGACTAGGTAGATGAGGCAGCTTTGCTCATTACAGTCCTTCCAGAACCAAATTTCGATCCAAGTAATTGCTTCTACATTCCCTACTGCAATGTCATAATCTGCATGACTGTAGCTGAGACATTGCCCCATCTAGGTTCTAGATGGCTGGGAGGGAGGAAACACATCCAGATATCGTCTCTTCTAGACCTAGGAGTGGCAAACAAAAAAATCTGTTTACAATTTTAGTGAGAACTTAATTCAATTGGCCATAACTAACCACAACGGAGACTGGGACAGGCAATTTATGAATAGCCAATGTGCCTGGGTACAATGCTATTTCTATAAAGGCAACAGCTTTTGACAGACATCTGTTAGAATTCGTGACAATGACCACCTTATTAATCCAAGGGACCATTTAACATTCATTTTTCTTGAGTTTACTAAAGGATTTCCTACCATTGATTTTACTCATCTCCTTAAAGTGCTATTTGCTTTTGGTTTCATGATTCTGAACTCTGGGCTGTCCTTGTCTTTTACAAGATGCTTTATTTCCTTTCTCCTCTAGTGAAGGTCTTTTTTTCAGAGTTCTGCCTCTTCTCTTGTTATCTGATATATTTTTGCTTGGTTTTCTTAGAATACTCACAGTTTCAATCACCATATACATGCTGGTGAAATCCAAAGTCCCTATCTACCCCAGTTCATATCCTATATTCAGTTTTATATATGTAATTATGTACAACTCCACATAGGGACATTCATGTAGGAACATTTATACATATCTTCCAAATACCCTCATCTCAATATAAGCCTGTACAATATTGACTTCATATTTTTCCACTTTAGTCTTTTTTGTTCTTCAGTGTCCTCTGTCTTAGAGAATGACACAACTAACCATTCAGTTGCCCAGTCCAGAGGTGTGTTAATCATCCCTGAGTCTTTCATTTTTTCTCCACATGCAACCTGTTAGTCACCATATCCTAAGTATCTTTCTAAACATCCCTCTTCTCTCAATCCACACCAACATTACTCTTAAACAGGCTGCCATCATCTCCTAACTGGGGTCTCTGATTCCAGTCACTCCTCCTGAAATCGATTCTCTATACTTCTTTCAAACTGATTTTTCAAGAATGCAGATGCAATCATGTTAATCAAATGTTTAAAACTCTACATTGTATTATAATTTTTCGTAGGATAAAGTTTTAAATTTATTAAAAATTTTTTAAAATGTTTTATTTATTTCTGAGAGAGAGTGAGAGAGTGTGAGCAGGGGAGGGTCAGAGAGAGACAGAGATACAGAATCCGAAGCAGGCTCCAGGCTCTCTGAGCTAGCTGTCAGCACAAAGCCTGACGTGGGGCTAGAACCCACCAACCTTGAGATCATGACCTGAGGCGAAGTCGGACACTCAACTGACTGAGCCACCCAGGCACCCCTAAAATTTTAAGTTTATTATATAACCTGTGTAATAATTTGGGTCCTCACCTTGCATTCCCCCCTCCTCCCCAGTCTCACTTTTTTTTAAACAACAAACATTTATTTATTGTAGTTCTGGAGGCTGGGAAGTCTGAGGTCAGGGTGTGGGCAGATTCTAGGTCTGGTGAGCCCACTTCCTGGTTGTTCTCTTCTTGCTGTGTCTTCACAAGGGAGCTCGCTAGGATCTCTTGTATAAGGTCACTAATCCCATTCATGAGAGCTCCAATGTAATGACCAAATTACCTCCTAGTGGCCTTACCTCCAAATAACATCCCTATGGGGGTTAGGTTTAAACATGTGAATTTGGAGGAACATAAACATTTAGTATCAGTTTTCTTTATTTTTTAAATTATAATTTATTGTCAAGTTGGCTAACATACAGTGTATACAGTTTGCTCTTGGTTTGGGGGATAGATTCCTATGATTCATCTCTTACATACAACACCCAGTGCTCCCCAGTCTCATTTTTAAATTCTCCCTTTCTATGGTTTAAAGTTCAAACCATATTTAACTGTTATTCATCTGCCTGAAACATTCCTCCTTTTCCAGCCAGCTTCTTCAGATCACAACGTCTAATTTACTACCTTACGAAAGCTTTCACTGGTGTTCAAAAATCTGGGCTAGATTTTATTTTTTAGTATACACTTAACTAACACTAGCAACTTTGTAAATATTAATTCATTAGATTCCTACGATAATAATCGTAGGAGGTAAATACCATTATCACCCCTATTTTACAGGTAAGGAAACAGAGGAACATTACTTGCCCAAGCCTGAAGATACTGAATGGTAGAACTAGGATTCAAATGTAAATATTTTGGTTCCAGAATCCATTTTCATATGCTATGCTGCCTCCTAGGTACAAGATGACCCTTTTGGTATTTCTGTATTACTCTTCACTAATGCATACATTGTGAAATATTTTAATAACTTGTCTGCCAAATTTTTAGCCATTGAACTCCATAAAGCCAAGGACTAAATCTATATTATTTATTCCATATTCTTACATGTTTATTAAATTTTAAAATGTTTATGTATTTATTTTGAGAGAGAGAGACAGAGCACAGGCAGAGGAGGGGCAGAGAGGGAGAGGCAGTCAGTGTAGATCCTGATGTGGGGCTCAATCCCACAAACTGCATGATCATGACCAGAGCCTAAGTCAAGAGCTGGAGGCTTAAACTAACCGAGCCACCCCGGTGCCCGGGTGCCACATGTATATTTTAATAATATGTAAGTGAAAACAGGTAACGACATTACTAACTATAGTTGACTGAATTCAAAAGTATTTGCAAGAGTGGAGGAGATAATATATTTGAAATTCTCAAGAAATGGCCTAAATATTATTTCTTCAGTTCAAGACATCTTTCTTCCCTACCCCTTTTAGTTCAGGACGTTTTAATAGACTCTTCTTGTCAGCATTTAAAACGGCACTAATTAAATGCCCTGTACAGACTTTGTTTGGATCCTGATTCAAACAAACCAATGGTAAAACAAAACAAAACAAAACAAAACAAAACAAAACAAAACAAAACCATTTTGGGGAAAAATGAGGAAAACCCAATACAGAGTGAATGTAAAGTATATCAAGTAATTATTGCTAAATTTGCTGGTTGTAATAGTGGTATAGTACTTATATTTTAAAGGCTTTAACTATTAGAGATGCATGGTGAAGTATTTAGAGGTAAAGATATATGATGTCTGGAATTTGCTTTAAAATCCTTCAGAAGTATTCATGAATTACTTGTTCAAAGAGAAAAAAAATTAAACAATTCATAGAAACACATGGTGGCGCTGTAGGATAAGATGAAATCAGTGCATGGACAACACTGTGGGCTCCATTATTAAGGGGAACAGAGAACATCCAAGCCACTGAGAAGAGGCAATAAAGGAGTTTCATCTACTAAAGCTGCTGGAGGGCTATAGACCCTCCGGGGGGGTTCTTATTTTTAAAAATTTAGCTTCAGCTTCCAAAATTAGGGCTGAACTTAATTTTTTCTACAAAAGGGAAGGAGCCATGGAGATCAAAGGGGTGCTCACTCTGCAGAAAAGGCAAGTCCTGATTCTCTTTGTTTTTCTGGGATTATCTCAGGCAGGCCCTGATTCAGTGCGATATTCAGTGGCAGAGGAAACAGAAATTGGTTCTTTTGTGGCAAATCTTGCAAGGGATCTAGGGCTTGGGGTGGAGGAGCTGTCCTCCCGGGAGGCCCGGGTAGTGTCTGATGATAATGAAAAGCACTTGCAACTTGACTTACTGACGGGGGATTTGCTCCTAAATGAGAAACTGGACCGAGAAGAGCTCTGTGGTTTCACCGAGCCGTGTGTGCTACATTTTCAGATGGTACTGGAAAATCCTTTACAGTTTTTTCGGGGTGAGCTGCATGTCAAAGACATAAATGATCACTCTCCTTTGTTTCTGGACAAGGAAATACTTATTAAAATATCAGAAAGTACCAGTAGTGGAACCACATTCCTAATGGAGAGTGCCCAAGATTTGGATGTAGGAACCAACAGTCTCCAAAACTACACAATTAGCCCTAATTCTCATTTCTACATTAAAATTCGAGACAGCGGTGATGGAAAGATATACCCAGAACTGGTCCTGGACAGAGCATTAGATCATGAGGAGGAGCCTGAGCTCACATTAACACTAATAGCACTGGATGGTGGATCTCCACCCAGGACTGGGTCAACTTTGGTTCTCATCAAGGTTTTGGATATCAATGACAATGCTCCTGAGTTTGCTCAGAGGCTCTATGAAGTGCATGTCCTGGAGGACACTCCTGTTGGCTCCTGGATTATCACCATTTCTGCTAAGGATTTGGATTCAGGAAATTATGGGAAAATATCATACACATTTTTTCATGCATCAGAAGATATTCGTAAAACATTTGAAATCAATCCAATATCTGGGGAGGTTTACTTGAGATCATACCTGGATTTTGAAGTAATACAGTTCTACACTATAAATATTCAGGCAACAGATGGTGGGGGTCTTTCAGAAGAATGCACTCTTCTGGTTAAAGTAATAGATATAAATGATAATCCACCAGAAGTGACCATCTCATCATTTACAAAGACAATTCCAGAGAACGCCTCAGAGACTCTGGTTGCTCTTTTCAGTGTCAGAGACCAAGACGCTGGGGACAACGGAAGGATGGTTTGCTCTATTCAAGACGAGCTCCCTTTTTTTCTGAAACCAACCTTTAAGAACTTTTTCACTCTAGTTGCGGAAAACGCGCTGGACAGAGAGACAAGATCTGAGTACAACATCACTATCACTGTCACTGACTTAGGGACCCCCAGGCTGAAAACTCAACTCAACCTAACCGTGACGGTGTCCGACGTCAACGACAACGCCCCCGCCTTCAGCCAAACCACCTACACCCTGCGGGTCCGCGAGAACAACAGCCCCGCCCTGCACCTAGGCAGCGTCAGCGCCACAGACGCAGACTCGGGCGCCAACGCCCACGTCACCTACTCGCTGCTGCCGCCCCAGGACCCGCAGCTGCCCCTGGCCTCCCTGGTGTCCATCAACGCGGACAACGGGCAGCTGTTCGCGCTCAGGTCCCTGGATTACGAGGCGCTGCAGGCGTTCGAGTTCGGCGTGCGCGCGGCCGACCGCGGCTCGCCCGCGCTCAGCAGCCAGGCGCGCGTGCGCGTGCTGGTGCTGGACGACAACGACAACTCGCCCTTCGTGCTGTACCCGCCGCAGAACGGCTCTGCGCCCTGCACCGAGCTGGTGCCCAGGGCGGCCGAGGCGGGCTACCTGGTGACCAAGGTGGTGGCGGTGGACGGCGACTCGGGCCAGAACGCCTGGCTGTCGTACCAGCTGCTCAGGGCCACGGAGCCCGGGCTGTTCGGCGTGTGGGCGCACAACGGCGAGGTGCGCACGGCCAGGCTGCTGAGCGAGCGCGACGCCGTCAAGCACAGGCTGGTGGTGCTGGTCAAGGACAATGGCGAGCCGCCGCGCTCGGCCAGCGTCACGCTGCACGTGCTGCTGGTGGACGGCTTCTCGCAGCCCTACCTGCCGCTCCCGGAGGTGGCGGCGGCCGAGGCGCAGGCCGACCCGCTCACCGTCTACTTGGTCATCGCCTTGGCGTCCGTGTCGTCGCTCTTCCTGTTCTCGGTGCTGGTGTTCGTGGCGGTGCGGCTGTGCAGGCGGAGCCGGGCGGCGTCTGCGGGTCGCTGCCCGGTGCCCGAGGGCCACTTTCCGGGCCACCTGGTGGACGTCAGCGGCACGGGGACGCTGTCCCAGAGCTACCAGTACGAGGTATGTCTGACAGGAGGAACTGGGACCAATGAGTTTAAATTTCTGAAGCCAAATATCCCCAGGCTTCCAGTCCCTGACACTGAAAGGAATATAAAGGGAAATGAGAACTTGAGGAATAGCTTTGGATTCAACATTCAATGAAATAATGTATTTTAAACTTTGAATCTTTTGTTTTTCTTGACAATCTGTGGATACTTTTTGCCAGTCTGTAATGGATATTAAGTTGTACCATGGTTGCATGTATTATTATTTCTTGGGCTCTCCTTACAGTTTCTTTAAAAATCTTTATTAGTGGCCATATTCCAGAAATGGAAATATAATCTATGTTTTGGGTTTTTTACCCAGGTATTTGGTCATAAATGTTTTATAGAGTTATTAGTACTTTTTGTTGTGATAATGGTGTTGTTTTGCAAGACAATGTTACTAATTATTTGGAGGTACAAACTGATATATTAAGAGTGAATGCCACAATATATGCGATTGACTTCTAGACATTTCATTAAATCCTAAAAAAAAAAATGTGTTGTTGGATCTGGGTGGAAGCCTATTGGATTTTATTGCACTATTCACTTTGCAAATTTTCATCGTAAAGTGTAAAAAAATGATACCCTCATATTCAGATCCTAGGATACCTTATTTGCTTGCTTTTTGTAGTGTTTTTTAGGAATTCACTTTATGACAAAATAAAAGTGACCACATTGAAAATTACTGATATCTTAAGTTTCCTTTGTTGTTGTTATTGTTATGCTGTTGTGGGGAAGGAGCCTTATAATGCTGTGGGCCTTGATGTCACTGCTTTTTTGAAACAATATCGTGTTTGCTAATTTAAATTTATATTATTTTATATAGTTCATGACTTACCTAGAATGTAGTTCATGGTATCATCCTGGGTAAAATAATAACTCTCCTTCAGAAGAGTATGGATAGAAACTTCTTAAGAAACTGAAATGAAATTCAAACTGTTAAAGAAATGAATTAGGTTCGCTTTTCTATTGATTTATAAGAGTAAATATAAAAACTTTTAATACTTTGTGGCCTCGCTCAGATATCCACAAAGAAGGAATGGATCTGAATTTATGGCTTATAGATATCTCTTGGTATTACAGATTATGTCTCCAATATAGGAGTAGACAGTTTAATGGAAAATTACAGGTAGATACTTTCTTAGCTTTATTGCAATATGGATATAGAGCTAGTGTGCCTATATATTTTTGTAATTTGTCTCTTAAAATTAGATATTATAGACTAGATGGTCTAATAAAATGGAATTTGACATTGTGAAATGGGTAAAACAAATTCCAATTTCCTTGGGAATTTTTTTCTTCACGAAATGTTCACTTATTTTGTGTTGCAATAGGTATTTACTAGTTTTGAGAATTTTCATATAAATAGATATTTAAACAATAAAATCTTGAAAAGCAATGTTTGGGCCCTCTTAATCCCTCAGACTCATAAGAAGTAAATCTTCTGTTTCTTACACACTAATGAGAATAAATAAGAACGGAATACCCTATTTGAATAATGTAGGAACCAATTTGTAGACTATAGAATCCAGGGTCAGATCATTTTATATGAGAACTTTGTTTTTTTTTTTTAATTCCAAGATTTTATTTAAATTCAAGTTAGTTAACATATACTATAGTATTGTTTTCAGGAGCAGAATTTAGTGATTCATCACTTACATACAACACCCAGTACTCATCCCAACAAGTGGCCTCCTTGATGCCCATTGCCCATTTAGCCTATCCCTTCACCCACCTCCCCTCCAGCAACCCTCAGTTCGTTCTCTGCATTTAAGGGTCTCTTATGGTTTGTCTCCCTCTCTGTTTTTATCTTATTTTATTTTTACTTCCCTTCCCTTATGTTCATCAGTTTTGTTTCTTAAATTCCATATACGAATGAAATCATAGTATTTTTCTTTCTGTGACTGACTTATTTAGCTTAGCATAATACACTCTAGTTCCATCCATGTCTTTGCAAATGGCAAGATTTCATTCTTTTGATGGCTGTGTAATATTCCATTGCATATATTTATACCACATCTTCTTTATCCATTCATCAGTTAATGGACATTTGGGTTCTTTCCATAATATGACTATTGTTCATAGTGCTGCTGTAAACATTGGGGTGCATGTGCCCCTTTGGATCAGTATTTTTGTATCCTTTGGATAAATACCTAATAGTGCAGTTGCTGGGTCATACGGTAGTTCTATCTTTAACTTTCTGATGAACCCTCACACTGTTTTCCAGAGTGGCTGTACCGGTCTGCGTTCCCACCAACAGTGTAAGAGGGTTCCCCGTTCTCTCCATCCTTGCCAACATCTGTTGTTTCCTGAGTTGTTAATTGTAGCCATTTTGACAGGTGGTTAATTGTAGCCATTCTGACAGGTGGGAGCTGGTATCTCAATGCAGTTTTGATTTGTATTTCTCTGATGATAAGTAATGTTGAGCATCTCTTCATGTGTCTCTTAGCCATTTGTATGTCTTCTTTGGATAAATGTTCATGTCTTCTCCTCATACTTAACTGAATTATTTATTTTGGGGCATGTTGAGTTTGATTAACAGAGCTTGGTTTTGATAGAGGATATGTTAAAATCACTAGAAGGTAGGAGCAAGTCATATTACTTAGCAAATGTTATTGGAAAATTGGGTCACTATATAGTTGGGTCACTAGAAAATTGGGTTACTCATCTCATGCCACATAAGAATAAACTTTATATGGATCTAAGGGGTGAATTTAAAGTATTTTAATTGAGAAAATATAATAAATCTAAGTAAAATATATTTATGATCTTACTATTAGTTTGAGTTTCTTAAACAAGGCTTTAAAGTACAAACAATAAAGATAAAAGTTGACAAATACTACTACCTCAAAACTAGAGGATAGCATAGGCAAGCTAAAAGACAGGGAGAAGCTACATACAGCAGTTTAACTGAGAAGGATTAATATTCAGATTACTCAAATAATTGCAGATTAGCAAAAATCAAAAAGTCGAGGGCTAATAAGACTTTTTAAAGGATAAAGGGAAAAGAAATTTAAAAAAGGGAAACCAAAGTCTGAAAAGAACTTGAAATGACACTCAACCTCATTAGTTGGTGAAAAAACATATAAGATACTAGTTTACACCTATAGCATTAATAAAGATAAGAAATTTGTATAATATCAAGTGGAACAATATGAAATCACATGTACAGCCCACTTTGAGAGATTTTGATAGTACTTAATGAAATTTAAGAATGAACATACTCTGATTCAAGAATTCTACTTGGGGTATATAAGCCGGAAGCTTCTTTCATCTTTTTAAATGTTTTAAGTTTAAGGTGTATAAGTCAGAAAATTTATTTCATGGCTTCACACATGATATGCATAAGAATGTTCATCTTGGGAGAGCAAAGAATAGGAGTCAGTCCTACATATCCATCAGTAAAACAACTGATAAATGAGTTGTGGAAAAGGTTTCTGAAGGAGTATTATGCAGTATTACCAAAAGGAATAAACTAGGTGTGTTCATAATCACAAGGATAAATCCCAAATATTTTATTTTATTAAAAAATATTTTTTATGTTTATTTTTGAGAGAGAGATAGAGTGTGAGTGGGGTAGGGACGGAGAGAGAGGGGGATACAGAATCTGAAGCAGGCTTCCAGGCTCTGAGTTGTCAGCACAGAGCCTGATGTGGGGCTTGAACCCATGAACTGTGAGATCATGACCTGACACTTAACTGACTGACCCAGGCACCCCTAAATCCCAAATATTTTTAAAGTTTATTTATTTATTTTGAGAGAAACAGAGGCAGCACATGTCAGGGGGTGGCAGAGAGGGAGGGAGAGACAATCCCAGGCAGGCTATGAGTTGCCAGTGCAGGCCCTGATGTGGGGCTTGATCTCATGAATCATGAGATCAGGACCTGAGCCAAAATCAAGGGTTGGAAACTTAACTGAGTGAGCCACCCAGGCACCCTCCAAATATTTTAATAGGAAGAAAGATACTGAAATTTATGGCACAGTGCCATATGTATCTATATAATATGTAATATCTTATATTTGTGTAAATATATAAACATATTGGAAGGAGAGAAATAAGGAAGAGATGCAGGAAAGAAGATGTGTTTAAGTATAGCAGAATAAGGGACACAGAGATAAGTGGGAGCTATACCAATATCAATGACAGAAATGGTTTCTTCTAAGAGATTGTTTTTATTGGTCAGTTGAAGTTGGTAAAAAATGCATATTATTTGTCTGTCTTCTTGAGGTCAATTAATTGCCCATACTCTAGGAAGCCAAGAGTTGTAATTCTGAGACATAACCATACCCTTGAGATTTACTTTTCATAAGGATGGTATAGATTATATAGACCAATGCTTCCACGGAAAACAATTGGTTAATAAGACACTAATATAATGTCCAAGGGTAATCCAGAGAGATAAATGAATTTAAGAATTACTTTTCCCCTGGAATATTTGAAATCCTGGAAAGTGTGAACCCCTATTTTGATGGTTTATATAATAAGGGAGGAAATCAAAGCATAACAAAGTGAGAAGTTTATAGAAGACCTTTGCATTACTAAATATGGATCCCTAAGAACTACACCTTTAAGGTGAAAGCGAACTGGAAATGGGTGAGACCTTTTGTGGAATTTCAGCTCTGAATTTCTCAATGGTTGTTGACAAGTAGTTCTTCCAGATCCTGATGGAACCAAAAGCAGACCTTCTACGTAAGAAAGTTGATCCTAAGGCTAAAAACCTTCATATAAATAAGTTTTACATTCTCAACTTGAACACAAAGATAACTGCATACACAAGGAAACATGACACCATGAGTGAGAGCCAGTAGAAAAAAACATAGGACAGAAGTATACTTCAAACATTTTAATTGGCAGACATAATCTAATAATATACTAAACACTTAAAGGTTATCCTTGAAGGTGTATAGGGAATACGAAATGTGACAGATTATTAAAGAACCAAATAGCACTGAAAAATATAACCACAATTTAAATTCAATCAAAACTGAATAAAAGGTTTATTAGGAAAGTAGATATTAGCAAATGAATAATTTGTGAAGTGAAAGGTCAGAATATAATTTATCTAGCACATAGCTCAGAGGGTTTAGAAGATGAGAAATATGGAGGAGATGGTTAGAAACATAGGAGAGAGTAAAAAGGTTTAAGATAGGATTAGAAGCAATATTTGAAATATATTGGAGGGATGTCTGGCTGGTTCATTGGTGGAGCACATGACTCTTAATCTCAGGGCTGTGAATTCAAGCCCCATGTTGGGTGTGGAGCCTACTTAAAAAATATATATATATACATATTAGAAAATAGCTGAGATTTTTCCAGAATTGATGAAAATATCAGTGTACGGATTCAAAAGGCTCAAATAAACCTAATAGGATAAATAAAAGATAGCCATGCCTGGAAACATCATTGTGCAGTTTCAGAAAGACAAAGACAAAGAGAAATCTTTTTTTAAAGGTTTATTTATTTGTGAGACAGTGCCAGAGGGGTAAGGGCAAAGAGAGGGGGAGACCCAAAGTATCCTTAGGGAGCTCTATGCTGTCAACCTGATGCTGGCCTCGAACTCATGAACTCACGGAGTGCTAGCTCATGACCTTAATGGAAGTCAGATTTTCAACCAACTGAGCCACCTACACACACCAAGAGAAATCTTTCTGAAAAAAATGAAAAGGCAGGGGCACCTTGCTGGCTCAGTCACAAGATCATGCAACTCTTGATCTTGGGGTCATGAGTTCAGGCTTCACGTTGGGTGCAGAGAGTACATAAATTTAAAAAATATATATATATATGTAAATGAAAAGGCATATGGAAAAGACATGTAATATTTAAATACATGACAGTTAGGCAAACAGCTATGTTCCATTAAACTCTGGTACGGAAAACTGAAAGTAAGAAATCTTGCTGAAAGAAATGAGCAAATCTTCCTGCCTTAACAGTCTTTGCACATAAGAGTCATCAAATGAGAGAATCAAATGAGAGGTATCAGTGTTTATTTAAATTAAACAAGATGGGGGGCACCTGGGTGGCTCAGTGGGTTGGACGAGGGACTCCTCATTTCAGCTGAGGTCATGATAGTAGATTTGACACCCGCCTCAAGCCCCTAGTTAGATTCTCGAGCCTGCCTGGGGCTCTATCTCTAACTCTTTCTAGGCCCCTCCCCTGCTTGCACTCTTTCTCTCTCGTTCTCTCAAAATGAATAAACTAAAAAATTAATTAAACAAGATCACAGGAGAGAGGTGGTGTAAAGACATTTGACTTATCGAATATAACTTCTTACAGTTTTCCTCTGTCCATCCCTTGCCACAATTTCAAGTCCAGGAGTTTGACCTCTCTCTCTTCTAGCCTTCTCCATGTGTGGTGACATCATTTCTACTCTAGTCTTAGTCACCTAAGATCATGGTCATTTTCTGCAGATGGTAGTCTCTTAGAGCTACATCATTTCTGAAATCACAAAATCAAGCACACTCCTCCTCATATATAGCTTACATTCTTTCTTTAAGGACTTCAATCACCATTTATACCAATAAACCCTAAATTTGTCTCTACCCCTCAAACCTCTTTTCTGTATATAATGGAAGATTATTATATAACTCTTTATTTGGGATGCTCTATGGACAATTCAAACTCAACAAGTTTTAAATATTTTCCTTCCTCAAACCTAACATTACCTCCAACTCTATACCCGTTCCTCTCTTCTCCTCTTCCTGTTTTCGTTATCAGTTAATAGCACCGACATTCATTCAATTCCTGATTTCAAGCCTGAAAAAAGTGTATATTTACTTCACTTTTTCTTATTCCACCCTTTCCATGTTTAAATCTGTCACCACATCCTGTAAGGTTAGCATTTTTTGAAATGTTTATTTATTTTTGAGAGAGGAGGGAACAGAGAGAGAGAGAGAGGGAGCCAGAGGATCTGAAGCAGGCTTTGCACTGGATTCAAACTCAGGAACTGTGAGATCATGACCTGAGCCAAATTGGATGCTTAACCGACTGAGCCACCCAGGTGCCCTTTGTCATCTTTTTAATATAACTTTATTATTGCATTTCTAGTTGAGGTTAATATCATCTCCTTTTATATTGAAAAGCCTTTAAAAACAATTCTCATTTCAGATTTGCACAAGTATGTTTTGAGATTGCCTGGAGGGGCATCTGGGTGGCTCAGTCAGTTAAGCGTTTGGCTTTGGCTCAGGTCATGATCTCATGGTTCGTGAATTCAAGCCCCACATCGGGCTCTGTGCTGATAGCTCAGAGCCTGGACCGTGCTTTGGATTCTGTATCTCCTTCTCTCCTCTGCCCCTCCCCTGCTTGTGCTTTGTCTTTCTCTGTCTCTCAAAAATAAATAAATGTTTTAAAAAACTTAAAAAATATTTTCTGGAAATTTTACCTAACATCCAGTTTTTATTCGAGGAAAGTGTTTTCTGTATTTCCAAATTCTGGTCAAATGACCCTTATCTATGTTCTTAACAATTGCATGAACTTTTGCTATCATGGTATTCATTATGTGTTCTGTTTTTAAATGTGTAATCACTTTTCTGCCTCCATCTTTCAGGACAGAAACTATGTCTGTCTGCTTACCACTGTATCCCTAATACTCACTACTATTCCTAGCACAAATTATATGCTCAGTAAATATTTGCTCGACTAAGTAATGAATGGATGAATAAAATATTTATAATTCTGCCTCTGGAAGGCCTGGGTCTACAAAATAGGTTTCTTTTCCACAACTTAACTTGTATCTAGTTCAACATTTTTTAATGTCAGAAATTGGACATATATTACTTTATTAACCACTGTTGAACATTTACGTTATACTGCTGACAGGTAAGTCTCCTCTGGAGTATCCATAAGTAAATAGTAACATTTACCCAACCTGAAATGCCCAGTCTCTCCAAAGCAACTATTTGCATATATCAGGTTCAGTTACAAATGTATGACCTTATTGTCTTTTCTAAGAGAATTTGCTAATAGCTAAATAAGACTAAAACCTCTGGTTCCCCTTTCCTTTCCAATTTTCCTGGGAATATTCTGCTTATAAAATCCATTACATGAATCCTCTTAACTATTTTTAGTCATTTTATACATTGTCTTCAAAGAGAGATGAGAACTTAATAGAATTGGGGGCTATATCTTATAGATGATTTTTGTATTCACAGTTCTTAACAGATTGTGGTTTATTATGTTAAAGACTGAGTAATAATAGCGTCACATATCACAAAGAATGCAACTCAGCAAATAAGAATATAGGAGGAAATGTAATTTAAATTAGTCAACAAATACACAAGATAAATTGTGTCTCAAACTTACTTGACTGTTTAAAACCTGAGAATCTGCAGTCGCGTGGTGGCGCTGCAGGATAAGATGGGGACTTTTTTGTATCATCAAATGCTCTTGTCTCCATTAATCAGTGGAACAAGAGCATAGGAGAAGCAGGAAGGGGAAAGAGGCTTTCAAGAGAAAGCTAAGGAGACAACACCACCTTCGTGACAGGATTACAAATCCACAGATTACTAGTGGTCCAGGCTGATAGATGAGAGGAGCAATTTAGGAACTGTTTGCAACTGAGTTGAAACATTTCTGCAGAAAGACGTTTGCTTAGGAGCAATGGAGCCACGAGAGAGGCACCCTCAACAGATAAGGCAAGTGCTGCTTTTCTTTGTTTTTCTGGGAGGGTCTTTAGTGTGTTCAGAGCCCTGGTGTTATTCTGTTGCAGAGGAAATGGAAATCGGCTCCTTTATAGCCAATGTGGTGAAAGATACAGGTTTGGGTGTTGAAGACTTGGTTGCTCGGGGGGCGAGAGTCATCTTTGATGACCATAAACCATATCTACAATTGGATCAGCAGACTGGCAACTTGCTATTAAGTGAACAACTGGACCGGGAGGCACTTTGCCATCTCACAGAGCCATGTATATTGCATTTCCAGGCATTATTTGAAAATCCTTTACAATTTTTTCGGGCTGAGCTTTGGGTCAATGACATAAATGATCATACCCCTGCATTCCTAGACAAACATATACTTCTGAAAATCTCAGAAGGTACTGCTCCTGGAAGCTCATTTCCAATGGACAGTGCCCAGGACTTGGATGTAGGAAAGAATGGTGTCCAAAACTACACATTAAGTCCCAATCCTTATTTCCATCTTAAATTACAAGACAGTGATGATGGAAGAAAATACCCAGAGCTGTTCCTGGACCAATCTCTGGATCGAGAAAAGGAACCTGAGTTTACATTAACTGTAACAGCCTTGGATGGTGGGTCTCCGCCCAGATCCGGAACTACACTGGTTCGTGTTTTGGTTTTCGATATCAATGACAATGCTCCAGAGTTCGAGAGGTCTGTCTATGAGGTTCAGGTACCAGAAAACAGCCCTCTGGACTCCTTGGTCCTTAGGGTGTCTGCTACAGATTTGGATGCAGGAATATATGGAGAAATATCATACTCATTTTCCCACGTCTCCAGAGACATACGGAAAACATTTGATATCCATCCAATTTCTGGTGAAATCCGCTTAAAAGCACTTCTGGATTTCGAGTTAATTCAGTCATATACAATAAATATTCAGGCTACTGACGGTGGTAGCCTTTCGGGAAAATCAGCAATTTTAGTTCAGGTTGTTGATGTGAATGACAACCCACCAGAAATAGTCATGACATCTCTTACCAGCCCCATACCAGAAAATTCGTCGCCTGAGATGGTGGTCGCTATTTTTAGCGTAAGAGACCAAGACTCTGGGGACAACGGGAGGATGGTGTGCTCAATACAGGACGATCTTCCTTTTCTCTTGAAGCCTACCTTCAAGAATTTCTACACCTTGGTAACAGAGCTGCCACTGGACAGAGAAAGCCAGGCGGAGTACAACATCACCATCACCGTCACGGACTTGGGGACCCCCAGGCTGAAAACGCAGCACAACATCACCGTGACGGTGTCCGACGTCAACGACAACGCCCCCGCCTTCAGCCAAACCACCTACACCCTGCGGGTCCGCGAGAACAACAGCCCCGCCCTGCACCTAGGCAGCGTCAGCGCCACAGACGCAGACTCGGGCGCCAACGCCCACGTCACCTACTCGCTGCTGCCGCCCCAGGACCCGCAGCTGCCCCTGGCCTCCCTGGTGTCCATCAACGCGGACAACGGGCAGCTGTTCGCGCTCAGGTCCCTGGATTACGAGGCGCTGCAGGCGTTCGAGTTCGGCGTGCGCGCGGCCGACCGCGGCTCGCCCGCGCTCAGCAGCCAGGCGCGCGTGCGCGTGCTGGTGCTGGACGACAACGACAACTCGCCCTTCGTGCTGTACCCGCCGCAGAACGGCTCTGCGCCCTGCACCGAGCTGGTGCCCAGGGCGGCCGAGGCGGGCTACCTGGTGACCAAGGTGGTGGCGGTGGACGGCGACTCGGGCCAGAACGCCTGGCTGTCGTACCAGCTGCTCAGGGCCACGGAGCCCGGGCTGTTCGGCGTGTGGGCGCACAACGGCGAGGTGCGCACGGCCAGGCTGCTGAGCGAGCGCGACGCCGTCAAGCACAGGCTGGTGGTGCTGGTCAAGGACAATGGCGAGCCGCCGCGCTCGGCCAGCGTCACGCTGCACGTGCTGCTGGTGGACGGCTTCTCGCAGCCCTACCTGCCGCTCCCGGAGGTGGCGGCGGCCGAGGCGCAGGCCGACCCGCTCACCGTCTACTTGGTCATCGCCTTGGCGTCCGTGTCGTCGCTCTTCCTGTTCTCGGTGCTGGTGTTCGTGGCGGTGCGGCTGTGCAGGCGGAGCCGGGCGGCGTCTGCGGGTCGCTGCCCGGTGCCCGAGGGCCACTTTCCGGGCCACCTGGTGGACGTCAGCGGCACGGGGACGCTGTCCCAGAGCTACCAGTACGAGGTGTGTTTGACGGGAGATTCAGGGAACAATGAGTTTAAGTTCTTGAAGCCCATCTTCCCCAATATTCTAAACCAGGACCTTGGGAGGAAGTCAGAGGGAAATGCAACAACGTTCCACAATAGTTTAGGTATCTGAAACTTTCCTGTTTCCTTTAACATTAGTTTTGTCTCCTTCCCCCCCCACTTTTTTTAGTCGAGTGGTAATTTTAATTTTACTTCCTCCTCTCTATTTGCCATCGTAAATTTACTCTGTTGATTTGTTTGTCTGATTATTTTTTTCAATTATTGTATAATCAGCAAAAATTTTATATCAGGAAATGAATATTTCTGATTAAATGCATATTTCTGATTAAAATTTTCATACTCATTCCTAAAGGATAGTATGAAAATTAACCTTTTAGAATAAACAGTTCTAATTTTGAAACTGTTTTACTGACTACATAATATATAAGAATGTTTTATTCTTTTAACGTACTTCATTTTAAAATTACTGGAATTCCTAGTTTTTTTAGTAACACACCTACGACTTTTGTACAACCCGTTATGAGTTTTGAGTGGAATCAATTTGTATATACCCATGTCCAGTTTCTTCTGAGCTCTGTTTGGATTTTTCTTTTATCAGTAGGCAACAATGTATATATTTTCATGCTATTTTTTAAAAAATCACACTTGGAATCATTAGATTTTTACTCTGAAATACATACGTCACCTCAGGAAAGTGTTTCTTTATTATGAATTCTTTCTCATCTAAATTAATGTTGAAAAGATTTAAGGGTTCTTACTTACATGTAACTTAAATTACAATCCTGACCAGAGTTTGGGCAGATTTGCTATACCCAGATTGACTGTGTTGAGGATGTTCCTAGATACTCTAAAGATTCTAGTACTGAGTAATATATTGCTTGCAGTTGTAATTGCAACTGTAATTATCAAGGATTGCAGAGTAATTCTCAAGTGAGTTCCAAATTCCAGGCATATGGAGCTTTTGGTGGCACAACGTGCTAATATCTACTTGCCTTTGGATGATGACATTGTGCTTATTAAGGGGTTTGAAAGAAAATACATTGTATATTACTATTAGTTAGCCAAAAGAAAACTTATCTCAAGTTCCAGGCGCCTCTTAATTTTGGAAATGCTATATAGAACAGTATGGTAGGCAGAATAAATGGCCCCTTAAAGATTTCTGGGTCCTAATTCCTGGAATCTGTGAAGATGTTCTGCCATTTTGTGAAGAAGAATTAAGGTTCAGATGGAATTAAGGTTGCTAATTAGCTAACCTTAAAATAGGGAGAATATCCCAGATGCTCTGTGTGGGCCTGATTTAATAAGTCAAAAGGCCTTAAGAACAGATCTGAGTTTTCCCTGAGAAGAAGAAGAAATTCTGCCTGTGGGCAGTGGCTTCAGCTTGTGCTCCAAAGTTTCAGCCAGCCCTGTAATTGCCTGCCCTACAGATAATGGACTTGCCTTGCCAACTCCCACAGTTGAGCTAGTTACTTCCTTGCAACAAATCTGTCATTACGTATCTCCTGATGGTCCTGATTCTTCCGTTGAACCCTGAACGCCACAGGTTGTTGTTGTTTTTTAACCTGGGAGTGGAGTGCTGTTGTAACAAGTAACTAAAATCATGGAAGTTGTTTTGGAACTGGAAGGTAGGCAGAGGCTGGAAAAAAAAAAAGCGTGATGTTGAAAGCCTAGATTGCTTTGGAAAGACTGTTAGTAGAAATATGAATGTTGACAACCCTGCTATCAAAGTCTCAGGAGGAAGTGAGGAGCATGGTGAAGATATACGTTGTTGTGTGGAATACCTAAATAATTATAAAGGAATGCTGGTACAAATATGAATGTTAATGTCACTGATGGATGAGGGCTCAGAAAGAAATGAGGTGAAGATGATATTGGAAAGTGGAGGAAAGAGAATCCTTGTTATATAGTGGCAGAAAACTTAGCTGAGTTGTGTCCTGCAGTTATACATAAAAAAGGATTTGTAAATAATAAGCGTGGTTATGTAACTGGAAAGATTTCCAGGCAAGGAGTTGAAGGCACAGTCTCATTTCTTCTTTAAGCTTATAATAAAATATGAGAGAAATGAGATAGATGGGAGGAAGAACTGTTAAGCAAAAAGGAACTAGAACTTGGTGATGTGGAAAATTCTCAGCCTATTCAGATGCCAAAAGGGGCTCAAAAGAAAAGTCATTAGGAAAGTGTGCTCTAGAGAGAAAGCCAATGGTGTCACAGGACAGCCTTTTTGCTAGTGCTTTGGAAGAATTAATAGGCAAGAATATTCAGTCATGCAGCAGGTTCTTTAAAGAGATTAGGCATGTGGTTCATGGAACTCCCAGACATCTCAGCAGAAGTCTGGAATAGAGATGAGATTACCCAGGAAAGAACTCTGAAGCAGCCCTTTGTATAGGAGAGATAATCCCTGTGACATATACAAGGCACTCAAAAGTTCTTGAGAATGTTATACCGGCAGAAATTATTACCAGCTTGAATTGGAAGGGACAGAGAGAATGATAGAAAAGAAACCTGTTGTACTCCACAATTCTAAAGCAAGAAACAACTGAAAAAACTACTTAGCTAAAAACATGTACTACCCTCTCATGCAAAAGGAAAGATGGCTCATGAGACAGTGCCTGGAGCTTGGGGGTGGAGCTCCAAACCCAGGCTTGAAAGCAAGCAGAGTTTTCCTGCCTGGATTTCTATATTTCTTGGAACATATGACTGTTTTCATTTTCCATTTTCTGTTTTCTGAACTGGAGTAACTATTAACTGTTACCTATGCCCTTCTGTCATTATACACTTTGAGGAACGTATAATTTGTTTAATTTTACTGGTCCACAGATGGAGAAGAATTATGCCCAAGATAGGTAATTACCTAGGGTCTTAACCATACCTAATTTAGATGATGAAGATGATGAAATTTGGAACTTTTGAGCTGATGAGATTTAGATGAAATTATGGGATGAGTTGACACTTAATGAGAGGAGATCTTTGAGGACCTTGAGTATATATTTTTTTTATGGGAGTCCCCTTGAGTATATTTTTTTATGTGAAATGGATGTGAATCTTTGGGGGGCAGGGAGTAGAGTGTGGTAACAAGAATAATGGCCTCACAAAGTAATCTCTGGAAAAGAGGAATTAAAGTTGCTGATAGAATTAAAGTGGATAATCAGCTGAGCTTGAAATAGATTACCCTATACAATTCAGGTGAGTCCAATGCAATCACAAGAGCCCTTAATAAGAAGAGTCATTTTCAGAGTGATGTTTTAGGAAAGCCTCCACCAGCCTCCAGTGAAGGAATACAGGAAGACACTGGAAGCTAGATAAGGCAAAAATATATTCTCACTTACAGCTTACAGAAAGGGATGTAGCCCAATGAGACCCATTTTAGACTTCTGACCTCTAGAACTGGAAGATAATAAATTTGTTTTTAAGCCACAAATTTTTTGGTAATTTGTCACAGCAACAATAGGAAACAGATACAAGTGACTACTAAAAAGTCATTTTGAACCCATTTTCCTTTGCCTTCCCCTATTCTAGGCCAAAATATTCATGTTCCTATGATCCCATGCAGGTACGAATATCATAGTATTCAGCTGTTGTTAATGATTTAAAAGTGCAATTGGGGAATTTTGCTTAAGGAAAATTTTTCTGTCCTTTTTTTAAAGTCTTTTTCTTTTCCTTTTTTTTTAATTGAAGTATGGTTGATACACAATGTTAAATTAGTTTCAGGTGTACAATATAGTGATTTAACAACTCCATATATTATGCTTTACTCATCACAAGTGTAGCTACCATATTATAACACTATTACAACGCCATTGACTATTTTCCCTGTGTCCTACCTTCCATCCCTGTGAATTATACATTCCGTAACTAGATACGTGTGTCTTCCACTCTTCTTTACCTATTGTACACATCCCCCCTTCCTTCCTCTATGGCAAATACTAGTTTATTCTTTGTATTTGTGGTTATATTTTTGTTTCTGTTTTTTGTTTGTTTTTGTTTTTTTTTTAGATTCCACATGTAAGTGAAATCATATGGTATTTGCCTGACATATGTCACTGTGCATAATATACTTACGTTGTTGCAAATGTGAGATCTCATTCTTTTTTTTTTTTTTTTAAATTTTTTTTTTTAATGTTTTATTTATTTCTAGGAGAGAGAGAGACAGCGNCAGACTGAAACAGGCTCGAGGCTCTGAGCTGGCAGTCAGCACAGAGCCCGACGCGGGGCTCGAACCCACGAACCGCGAGATCATGACCTAAGCGAAAGTCGGACGCTTAACCGACTAAGCCACCCAGGCGCCCCTAGATCTCATTCTTTTTAAAGGCTGAATAATATTCTCTTGTGTATATATATATATATATATACACCACATCATCCTTATCCATTCATCTGTTGATGGACTCTTAGGTTGCTTCCATACCTTGACTATTGTAAATAAAGCTGCAGTATACATAAAGGAGTATACATCTTTTTGAATTAGTGTTTATGTTTTCTTTGTTTAAATAACCACTGTGTATTACTGCCTTTTATGGTATTTCTATTTTTAGTTTTTTGAGGAAACAGCATACTGTTGTCCATAGTGGTTGCAGCAATTTACATTCCTACCACCAGTTTTGGAGAGTTCCTTTTTCTCCACATCCTTGCCAGCACTGGCTGTTTCTTGTCTTTTTCATATCAGCCATTCTGACAGGTGTAGGTTGATATCTTAGTGTGTTTGATTTGCATTTCCCTCATGATTGGTGATGTCAAGCATCTTTTCATATGTGTGTTGGTCATCTGTATGTCTTCTTTGAAAAAAAATGTCTTGAAGTCTTCTGCCCATTAAATTGGATTATTTGCTTTTTGGTGTTGGATTGTAGAAATTCCCCATATATTTTGATTATTGGATATATCATTTGTAAATATCATCTCCCATTTAGTAGGTTGCCTTTTTGTTTTGTTGATGGTTCCTTTTACTGTGAAAAAATTTTTGATTTTAGTGTAATTAAGGCAAACATTTTTCAAAAGATTAGTCTGAGGTGGATATTCCTAGGTCTTTTGCTCATTTTCCTTTTTTATAACCAGTGTACATACTAGGGAGTAAACCTTGAGTTGAAGCAGCCAGTTTGCACCCATAAGATGAATACTCAAGCTATTGTAGCTGACTTTATAGCTTCATTTAGTCATTTTGCAATTTGGCTTTT